GAATGGCCTGTTCCAATTTAGGAACGAGCATTCCGCACCCTAAATTAATGTTTTTGAGTTTTTTAGGCCTTTTGGAGCAATCTTGGGCCATTTAGGTACTCTATTAGGCCCTTAGGGATCGTATGTAACACCCTGATTTTCATAGATTATACGAAGGCTCAAAGCCCAATAAGGGTGATTTAGTAGCCTAGAACGGGCCGTTCCAAACTACTAAAAAAGCCTATAACCCTACTTGGGAATGGACCATTCTGGTTTTAAGAACGGGACGTTCCAAACATGATCGTTATGTGTTAAAATGCAACCCCAGAATGGGTCGTTCTAGATGTGAATTTAACAGATGATGAATGAGTCTATAATGGGTCGTTCCAGATCTGAAACAAGTCATTCTGGCCACTTTTGACATCTATAAATAGCAGACTCTAGCATTACTTTTGGACACACTTTCTGAAGACCAAGGAGAACCAAGAGAAGGAGATCAACCAGATTCTGCTCTAGCTTTGTCTTCTTCTTATCCAAGTAATGGGGAAGTGAGAAATCTCGCTCGGGGGTGTGAGAATAATTGTTGGGTAGTAGGATTGGCCCCCAATCCCTTGCCTGATGCATGCTTCTAGGAACACGCAAAATATGAATGTTTTATGTTTTGCCTTTTGATTGTTCTGTTGTGTTCCTTGTTGGATGTGATGTATGAATATGTGATTAATTTTGAAAATAGATAAGTTTTGATATGAATTAGAGTACTTTGTGGGTTCCTGTACAAAACCCTATGAGTAAAAATTATGAGTATGACTATATGAAATATGAACAAATGACATGAGACATGATGTGAATGAGAATGTGTTAATGTGAACACTATGACTATGAGAATGTGAAATGTGATGAAATGGATATGCTATGACTATGAGAATGTGAAATGTGATAAGACATGAAACTCCATGACAAGTGAAGTGATGAGTACAGGAGTTTGTGAATGTGTGAAATGCATAACGTGAATTTATGTGATGGGGCACGATATGGAGTACACCGTTAGGGAAGGCCCTCCAAGGGTGAAACATCTTGGAGGAGTCCTAGGGGATAGTGCGGTTTGGAAGGCCCAGTTCTGCCCATTTGTGTGCATGGGACATATCTTGCGCGACTTCATTATCCCGACGAGACCCTAGCAGTACATCCTTCTAGTTGAGATTGCGCGGTTGAGTCGACATGTACTCCTAGACTACTCTACGTGTATTGCTAGCGGCAATGCACCATGTGATATGTGATTGGCGCCACATTCATGCATTTATTAGTCGAGGCCATGACATCATCGCATAATGAATGACTGTGCATGTGTTACTGTTGTATGTATAATTTGAATTTGCACCTAATTAATGTGTAACCATGGATGTGCTTGTTATGATTTGTGTGTGTGTTTCCTAAATGTTATTTTTACATTGAATCTGACTAAGATGTTTCTCACTCCCTTTTTGTTCTTTGTATATGTTTAAATTGTGTTGCAGGTAATCATCAGCATGAGAATGTTGGTGATGAGGCTTAAGCTTCAATTGGGCATGCTCTGATAGGATATGTGACATCGGGGCATAGCTAGGCTTATTTTAGGATGCTATTTCCATTAAACTATTTGAAAACTCAGTTTCATTTCTTTGTAATTTCACTGACATGTTATTTGGATTAAGTTTATGAATGTGAAATCTTTACCCTTATGTGGTGGAGATTTGGTTTTTAATGATGAAGAATTTTATTTTTTATAATTACTGTATATGTATGTTGGGGTAGAGGGTGTCACATCGTACATGCTTCTTTTTTTAGCTATAGTGTGAGGCCTCCAAAGATTTTGTTAACTGTTGGATCGCGATGAAATTTTGATGATACCTTCTCAATACATTGATCTTTAACTTGAACGGTCGAATCGTAAAAATTAGATCTTTAGCCAGAGATATTATTAGAGAAAAAATGTTGCCCAACATGTTGCCCCCTCGAGGGCCATTTATCTTGCTTTAGTAGACCTTTGTCCTTGGTTTGGGTACCCTAAATGAAATTGGGTGTCTACATCTCCAACATCATTCTTTCTTTTAATCACAACACCAACAACAAGCTTCCTTTAACTCAATTGAGCTTCCTACTAAGAAGAATCAATGTAGAAGATAAACTTCCTCAAAAGCTTTGTTAGGTCAAATGACAATCCTAGATCTCCTTGGTCTTAAGTTTTGTTATTAATAAACAAAAAATTCTTCGATCAGTAGTATAAAGTTTTTGAAATGACTAAGATGAATCTTTCTCTAAGACGAAAATCACCTAGTAAGACAAACCTTGTATAAGACAATGATCTCACCAAGATGATCTTGTTAATGGATAAGATGAATCATTAGTCATAAAAAGATGTATGTATTAAATCTTTATTATTTTTTATCTCTAAATAAGAAACTGGCTATGTTTGAATAATTCCTTAACAGATCGAATTTTTAAATGCTTTCTTGGTACCAACATTCTACAAAAAGGAAATAAAGACATGTTTTGCGTTATAAAAAGGACAGTCAAATCTCTACAAACACAAAAGGTTATAGCCAAAAGTTGTTTCACCACTGCAACATCCTAACACATGCATGGTTCTACTTACTCGGTGCCAAAAGGTGGTAAGTAAACTTCCTTGATTAGATAAGAAGCGATAATTTAGTGAAAGTATTTAATGCAATCATTTATTATACCAACGAAAACTTCTCTCCTAGAAGTAATTCATGAAGATAGACAAAGCAAGCCATGAGAGAGAAGCTTAACAACTTGCAATGATTATCTTCACCAAAGCTATATAAAAGGAAGCTTGAAGTTTATAAAGAAATAGAGAGATTGATCATTGTAAAAGTTACATTATTTCTTTTAATAAAATGCCTTTGTACTTAATTTATTATATCACATCTTGGTACGAAGACAAAATAACTTTTTAAACCTTAGTAACTCTAAGTTATTGGGATGGAGCCTAAAGAGGATTTTTTGTAAAATAATACTTGTTATTTGAGCCTGGAGAGGCTTGAATGTAATAGAATACTTGATGTTGAAGCTTAGAGATACTTTATGTAAAATGAATAATTAGGTAGATTGCTTGAAAAGAAAATTCAAAGAATACTTAGGGTTAGACTAGAAGTGGCTTGGTAAAGAATACTTGTATCTTTGACAAGATAATGAAACTTAATTTGGTTGAATCAAGAACTAGACGTAGTCTTGATAGTTGAGACAAATCATTATATCCCTAAGTTCATTCTTTATATTGTTTTCTCTCTCATATCTATTATTGTTACTACTTCACTATACTTTGAAAAGTAAGAGTTTTGTAGTAATACTATTCAACCCCTCTTTCTAGTGTTCCTTTTTTCCCTAC